GACAAATTTTTCAGATTCAAGGTGCAGTCCAGTTTTACTTGGTTCAGAGTAAACAGAATGGGTAGTGTTCATGGACTATAGTAACTTTGCCATTCTGCTCTACAGAAAGGGTGGGTTTTTTTGTACTTAAGTAAAAATCAAGATCTAGGATATCGAATTTTTTTAGCTTTCTGAATTTCATCCATATCATATTCATTCCTACCATTTCAAGTTCTGCTTTCACATAGATGAACTTATTTCCTTGTCAGGAAGGGATGCTTATTGATGTTTAATTTTGCTACTGGCCATAGGATTCTGTAGACAACATACAGACTGAGCTGAGCAGTAAATAATGTGTCATTAGAGGTTTAGTGAAAGCTGAACTCAGACAAGACCTAAAAAAAAGAATTTTTTTAAAAAAAACTGCTTTATTTGTCAAGTGCCTTAATATTTATCTTTGTATACACAGGGCTCCAGGATGGAATATGTGAAATATCCAGGACTGTGGCTTTATCCAAGCAAGTAGATGTGAAGACTTCCTCTTTCCAGATGGTTATCCATCCAGACCCAGACATGCTACCAGATGTCAAACTTCAGTATGTGTGAGCACTCCATGTCATTTACTGAAGTCATTACTGTAGTGATGTATTTCCTAAAAGTACATTGACATCCAAAATACCAGGAAGACTGTTAGGCTTTCTCTGTGACTGTCTCAAAAACCTGACTGAGGAATTACTTGGTAAGGAAGGAACTATTAAATACTTATCAAGATTTTTCTTTAATTAGTCAATCACTCTTGCATTTTTACATTTCAGGATACTCCCCATCCCCTCCTCCTCATGTATGCATGGGATCCACAGATCTGCTCTCTATGTCCTTTGACTTTCCTGTGTCAAAGCTTCTTAGATTTGATAGGTGGATCTTGGAGGCCTCACTATTCCTATAAAAAATTTCTCTGCTGTGTATTTGAAATCCAGAAAGAATCTATCAGTCTTGGAGGATGAAAGACTGGAAATGAAATCCTTTCCACTCCTTTGTGCCACCTAATGTCTCCTTGCCTTCCTTAAGATATTTTCCAGTCTTTCTGTAAGGAATAAGGCACTTCTGGAGTGTGCTGAGTGGATTCAGGAGCTTATAGAAAACAAACCCCCAAACTGGAAAGGTGCTGCCCTCTACAATTATTTCTAAATCTCCAACCTAATGAACTCAGCTTGCTTTGATTCCCCTTTCTGATACAGACCTGGAAATCTATTTGGCTGGAGAAGGCAGCTTTAAATGTAGTGCAGTTGCTTGGAGAATGAGGGGCACAGCTTTGTGCCTAACAGTGTTTCTGTGCTATCCCTTAGGATGGACCCCAAATTGACCTTGGCTCACCTGGATGTCTCCCATGCTGGCCTGCTCAGCAAAACCTGGTCACGGGGAGGCAACCCAAGGTGCCAGAAGTATCTTGCTGGCCTCATTTGCTGCTTCCCCAGTGCCTGTGTCTTGGATGAACATGGGAATCCCCTCTCCTGGAGCCTGACAGACCAGTTTGCCACCATGATTCATAATTACACCCTGCCAGAGCATCGAAGGAAGGGTTACAGCAGGCTTGTGGCTACTACTCTAGCTAAGACATTGCACAGGTGTGGCTTTCCAGCTCAGGGTAATGTCCTGGAGACAAATATCCCATCAATAACATTACTGAAAAGCATGCATGCCCAGTTCCTTCCCTGCTCATTTTTCAGAGTGATTCATACACCTTTTCATTTTTTAGCCAAATCTCACTTGTAGGCAAACCTCACGAACCTACATTCAGATTAGCTTTTTGCACTACTGGAGAACTTTGGTGGAATTTAATAACTTGGGTGAGATCAGAAATCATAGGAGAGTTTCTTGTGTAATCCTAGAATCAAAGGCAGTAAGTGCTCATGACTTCTGTGCTTGAGGAAATCCGTGCTCATGGCAATTCCAAATGACTGGGCGATAGTTCTAAGTGTAATAGTTTTGCTGTAATTCAGTTGAAATTGTGCTGCTTCTGACTGAAGAATTATTTCTTCTGTATAACCATTTTCTAGAATATCTGCAGCAGGATCCTTGGACATCTCTAACCCCATTTACCTGTCTTAGAATAAGTCCTCAAACCTCTCCCTAAAGTGGTCTAAAAGAGATTAATCTGTGAAATTAAGCAGAGAAATCTGCAAGGAGCTGTCTGAACTAAAAAAAAAAGCTTTATAAGGAAATCTTTTAATGTCTAATACAACAACAAGTCTGTTTATGCTTATTTAACAAGTCTCCTTTATACTCAAGACAAATCTATCTGTCCATCTGCTACTTGTGGTAGAGCTAAACATGCCAACGCTGGATAAAATCTTGCAGCACTGCTGGTAAGGTTCCTCACAGTCCTAAATTAAATACTTAATGGGAGCTATTAAGATTTGGCCTAAAGCTTGTGTTTATATTCTGAACTGAAAGGGCACCTCACAGAAATTCTGTTCAGAATAAAAGGAATCTCTTTTTGAAAAGGAGATTATCTAAAGCCTAAGTGGGAACCAGTTTTACCAGTCCTGCCTGGCAAAGGAAGGAGAGCAGAGGGTGGAGGATGGACAAAGAACAAAGAGTCCAGGTGGTGGAAAGGCAACCTGTGAAGCTCTGCAGGTATATTCCTGGATTTGTCTGTGAAACAAAGATGGAAACAGAGAGACAAACCATGGGGGGAAAGGGAAAGAAGAGAGCCTTGTCTCTGTACCTGAGACAACAAATCATGAAATTCAGGGAAAGGACTTCAGAGAACAGAGCCTGCAGAAAGGCTCTGAAGGAGGGCAGAAAGATGGATTGACACATTTAATTTCCCTAATAGTCAAATATTCCATTAATATTTTAGATTTCTAAGGTTTATAGTACGTTAAATATAAGAATGGCATTTGTATGTGCAGTGCCATCTGAAAGACAGTGTGTGCACCTGAGTCACTCATACAGGGCTGGAAGATTCGTTTTTGGAAAACCAAGCCATGATTCTACTTTATAAATTTTTAAAAACTGATTTTTTTTTTTTAAGTAAAGCAGGGAATCCCAGCAGGAGGGAGCTATTGGCACACAATGGAGATTTTTTGCAAGCCCATAGAAAAGCGAGAATTTTGGGAAATGGATCAAAGGCCAGTTTGGATTTAAGGCAGCCTAGTATTTTAGGAAAACTGAATTTATCAACATCACTGTGTTTTTCAAATCCAGGTAATTGGATTTGGTAATTCTGCTATTGCCTTCAATAGGGCCAGATGTCTACTTGTAGATTCTTATTCAGCCTAATTAGACCATTTTTACAGAAGCTGTGGAGATCCTACATTTAATGAGAAGGAGAATAATTTCCAGGTAACTAAATCTGGTGGCTGTTTGGTTTGGAGACAGAAATTAACCACCTGATAAACAGAGACACCTCAGCGAAGAACCTGAGGTGATCATGCAATGCAGAGCCCTGCCATGTGAAAAGCAGAATTTCAGACTGCCTCAGCAAATAGAGGTTCTGGAGGAAAGAGCAGGGTCAGTTCAGACAAGGCTGTCAACTTTTTGATTTTTGGGATCTGCAGACTGAGTGCTGGAGCAGGCTGTGGCCCTAGCAGAGACATTTTGATGTCCTTGCTATGGATCCTTACAGAGTCATTCATGATCTTGTGCCACTCCATAACCGCTTATTTTCATGCTTTGTATATTAATCCCAAACAATAGGGATTATTCATAACTGAGATGATCTCTTTTAATTGTCAAAAGTATTTTTGAGATAAATCAGAAATTCTGTGGTGATGTGATAAAAGGGCATCTACAGTAAGGAGAACGAGTTATGTAATACTTGAAGTTTTCCTCCTTTTAGGTGGAGTTTTGTTTAATACCTGTCATTCTACATCTGGGTTGAGGTTTAGGCAGAGCACCACCAGAAATACTTGACTGTATGGTGGGACAGGAGGAAGGAAAATAAGGTTTACACTGTCATGTCTGGGAGAGTCACTTCTGAGCTGTGATGGACACGTTTCCACTGATGTGTAAAGGCTTTGAACTATTCCAGAAACTTTCCATTTTTCTCAGTCAATAGAAGAGTCAGGAAAGAGGTGACCTTGTTGTGGTTGGTGAGGGAAGGGTCCCCTATGCACTCCATAGGGATCACTCAGTAAACAACGCTGTTCATGTCCCCAGCACTTGGGCCATGAGCCCTGATGTGTCTGGGTGGCACCTGAGGATGCTGGACCTGAACCAAGAGCACCACCCAACTCCCACGCTGCCCTCAGGGGCAGAGCAGTTGCACAGGCTTGAAGCAGAATCAGCCCAAGGCTGCTTTGGCTCTCAGTCAGTTTTAACTTCCTTTTACAGTTGCCAGGAGGTGGGAGCCCTCTGTCAGCTAGAATTTGCTCACAATGTTTATGCAATGTTTAACAACCCCTTAGAGGGTTCATTACAAAATCACCAGCCATTTTCTGCAGGTGTACACTTTATTCTCCTGAGCTTATCCATTTACAGGAGATTCAGGAAAAGTCTTAAAGACCCTCTGGACTCAGGTCAACTTGGCTTAAGGTTTTTTCTGAGAAGTGATTTGCTATAACAGGTACAGAACTCTGATTTCTTTGCACGTGGCAGTGGAAGGAGGAGGGAGAAGAGCCAAGGGAAGAAACTGCAATGAGGCATTGGGGAACAGGATACCCAACCCAGCTTCAAACCCATCTGACTGAACAAGCCCTTCTGTTCTAAAGACCTGAAGCTCTGAACATCCCACATTCACCCAGAGGCTCTGCAGTGCTTATCTTTAAGTGCAATAGTACAAGCCAGGCACAGCTTCATGGTCCATATGTCTCTTTGGAGAAACCTGCACTTGGGAGGGTTTTTTGGGATATACTTTCAACAAACACTCATTACCAAGTGAAAACTGAAATAAGAATAAGAAAGCTGAGGGTCTGTATTTAGCTCAGATTAGGTGATCTAACATGAGCCATACATTAGTTCATATTTCTGGTCCATTTCTGCCCTTCCCCAATAAATAAAAAATAAAAGAACACCACTTTGGTTTAGAAGTACTGAAAACCTTCATTAAGTTGTGAATTATTTTGGTCAAAGGATTAGGAAGGCAGATGTCATGGAAAAGTAATTTGAACATTTTTGAAACAAATAAATGCTGCTTAGAGCTCTAGGAACGTGTCACAGCACACATTTCATAGGGTTTGGGAATGATATTAAATGAAATAGCAGGGCTGAGGTCCAGGTCTGAGGTGGAAACTCCAGGTGGAGGCAGGAAGTTGAACCTCTGCAGGAGGCTGGTGAAGAAGAGGAAGAGCTCCATTTTGGCCAAAGTCTCCCCAGCACAGATCCTCCTCCCTGGAATAAAATAAGAGTCAGTGGGAGCTGCTTCTTCAATAGTTAGAAGAAAAGAAAAACCTTAAGTATCTCTTATTAGGAGAAAGGTCATTGGGAGTCCAGAACACCTGAAATGTCCTATCCCAGCTATGAATGAAGAACTTAGCAGCTTTTAAAAGTCTGTTGAGTAAACAAGTGATCTTCAGAGGTATGATAACAAAGCCAACTGGTGTTGTTTTTTTTAGTTTCCCTTTGTCTAAATGCTTGCATTTTGGGGAGAAATGTATGGAAATGCAATCTGAATTCCTTAATTCTAGTTTTCAATAAAATCTGAATTTTTTTCTTCATTTTCAGATTTTTTTTGTCTACTTGGCCCAATTTTTGAATCCCCGACCAACTTGTTGAGTCTAGACTTTGGCTCTATTAGTCTATATATAGGCAATTTTTTATATTAAAATTTGTCAGAAAATTCCTTGGAAACTCACAAATGCTGGCCAGAGTGGGACTGAGAGGGAAGGTGGGGGGTATATTCTATGGATATTCAAAAGTGCTGTAAATATAAATTTTTCTCAGTCCTGTTGAACTGCAGCAGCTTTTAAACTGCCTTTTAAACTCAGGTGTATGTCACACTCTGGGAAAGCCTCAAAAAAACTCAAAATGCAACCCCTTTCTGTTCTTTGATTTTACACAGAATTTGGGTTTTTATATGATAGCTCCTCCCTGTTGTCACAGTATTTGAAATCTTGAGCCAGCTGATGTTATTCATGACTTTTTTAAAGGGGACATGGAAAAATGAAACAGGAAAGACATAGAAGCCACCTTTGCTGTGTGCTTTTTGTGGTCATAGACAATGCAACTGGGTGTGGTAAGACTCAAACCCAAAACGTAGAGGAACATATACAGATTATAATGCAGATATATGTTACCTAAACCATCCTGGAATTTGCTGAAAACTTTCCTCATGTTTAAAAAAGCACCACAAAGACTCATTTATATTTGTTCAGTGCTAACTGAGACACCAATAACATCCAGAGGCTGGAGGAATTAGCAGCCATTTGGGAGTACTTGCTCTTATCAGAGGTGTCCCCTCAGAAATCTGTGAAACATGGGGTGTGAAATGGCCCCATTAAAAAGATCATATGGAGGCCAGGCTTCAGTAGCAAAAAGTGCAAGTAGCCCTTGCAAAAAGTAGTTACTTGCAATGACAGTAAATGGAAAAGAGGAAGCACCTGCTGAAAAGGGCATGAAAGCATCTTTCTTCACAAATTTCCCATTGGCATCGAGGAAGTGCTCAGGGTAGAACACGTCTGGTTTCTCCCACTGCGACTCGTCGCGCAGGACTGAGGTCAGCAAGGGGATGATGTAGGTTCCCTGCAAAACAGGACAGTGGAATTAATCCCTGGACAAATTCAGGAAGAAGAAATGTTGAAAAACAATCCTGTAGGCATCTCACCTTGGGAATGAAATAGCCTTTGAGGGTGACATCTGCAGCAGTCTCATGAGGCAGATCCAATGGCAGGATATTGGCAAACCTCTGGATTTCATGGACGACAGCATCTGTATATGGCATCTGAGTTCGGTGCTCGATCCGTGGGGGGTTTGACCCTATCACTTGATCTATCTCTTCTTGGACCTTTCCTGAGGAAAGAATCAAATATGAGAAAGAAACAAGGTCTCATTCATCCCTGAGACATCCTGTGCTTTACTGATGTAAAGTGGAAAAAGAAATGAAAATCATAAATTCTCCAAAAGTCTTTTTTTTTTCCGTTTGGAAATAATGGAAGGTGAACAGAATTTGATTTGAGTATTTGATTGTTTCTTTACGAACAAGAAACCTAAAGACATTTTTTTGTGCCCTCTCTTCTGTCTAAAGTTCTTACTCTGCCCAACTGGAGTCTCAGAAATCCATTTTGACTCCAAACAACCCTATACCATCAAATGGAATGGAGATGTCAGACAAAGGGCAATTCCCTGCATCTTCTCAGGTATCTGATGCCTCAGTACGGTCCATTTAACATCTGCACAGGCCTTTGGTTTATCAACAGCCCATTTCTGAGGGAAACCTGGAACAATTTCATTACCCTACACAGGACAGCTCATGTCTTATTAATTAATGAGATTTTCCTGAGCAAAGGGCCTGGTCTGTATGAACTCTGTTTCTAATCTGTGGTAGGTTGGCCAGTGTGCCCCTCACTGGGCCTGGACCACAGGGCACAGCATTACCTAGACTATAATTGATGGGAAATCTTGGCTTTTTGTAACTGTGTATTAACAGATGTGTTGACCCTCCAGCTTCACATTTGGTTCCTAATGCCCTGAGTGTAACAGTATCTGTCATAAAACCACTTACTCTGAATTTCAGGGTATTTTAGCATCAGCAGAAAGCCCCAGTATAGTGTAGTAGAAATTGTCTCAACACCAGCAGTAAACAAATTGCTCATCAAGCTTAACAAGTTGCCATTATGGAAGTAACCATTGGTAGTGGATTTCTCCTGAAAAAAGTGGTTGAGATAAAAGGGTGAAAACTTAAAGCTTTCCATGTGAGAATGCAATTTATGTAGAAAAACATTTACTAAGAAGTAAATACTGTATTTTAAAATGAGTATGAAAGGCAAAGAAGAGCTTTGGGCTTGTACCTGGAGAATAATGCTGACCTAGGTTTTATATTCTGCATGATCTCTGTATTTACTGGGGCCAGCAAAGGGAGCTGCTTTCTCTATGGAGAAGGTAACCCAGATATATTAGAGACCCCAAATAAGAGTCCCAGTAAAGCCCAGGTAGTGATTTTATTCTGTGGTGAGTTATGTTCTTGAAAGAGCCAGAAAGTCTGGGACAACAGAGAAAGCAGATTAAAAAAGAGATGCAGCCTCTGTAAATATATGGATACAGTCTGAAGGAAATAAATAAGAAGAAATGTTTGCTGAATAAAAGGGCTTGGAACTGCAACAGAGTGAAGTATCTGTTCAACTCTATCACTTTGTTGTATGTGTTTTGTCGAAGATAGATTTCCTAAAGAAATTTAGCTGTAATTATAAGGACTGGAAGGAAGTTGTGTCTTCATAGAACCATAAAAGTTGGAATGAATGAGAAAAATTTCAGTTACCTCCTGCTGCTTAACCAGAAAAGCATCAATAAGGCTTCTTTGGTCATTTTTGTCCAGGTTTTTGAGATGTTCTACAAAAGTAACTTTTACATAATCATGGAATTCATCTCTGTTTTGGAGAAGAGACTTGTTAGCCCTTAGCAGGAATCCAAGGTATGGGAAGATGTTGTACATCTGCAAGAGTGGAAGTTGTTAGAATTTACCATCCAGAGGTCTGAAAACACTACAGAAACAAATTAGTGATATTGTACCCATTTTGCAGATACAAAGACAAAACCTTAACATTAATATTTTGTTCTTTAGAATATGAAAAACTAATTCATGGTAGATAATCCATCAGGGACCACCGAATACGAGGAAAATTCTCAGCCCCAAATTATTATTTTGCAGGAGTAGTGTTGATGTCAGACTCAAACAGCTGCAAGTTACCACCATGGAGAGGGAAATATTGTCCAGCAACTTTTTTTCCTGTTTTAACTAGCTTTACCACTAACTCTCTTTTATTTTTCAAAGCCTAAAGGAACAGAAATTAATCTGGTGTGAGGCAGCATTGCATGCAAGTATCAGAGAATATTTATTACTCCTTAGCACTCTTCAAACTATAGTTTAAGTTTGTTTTTGAGAGACTGGGAGTTTGATTTTTGGCTTCAAGATTTCCAGACTGTCTCCCAAGCTTTGTTTTGCACAAGAAATTGCTCTGTAAACCTATTATCTCCCAAAGTCTTAGATTTGCCTGTTTAACAGAAGACACTCACTACCAGTATTGTTACTTTCCCATGGAATCCAGTGGAAAAGCAACGTTAGTATGTTTATCATTACCGTCACCAAAGGTTTCCCAGCAAGCCTCACGCTTTCATTGGTCAGATTTAGAAGTCTCACAAATCTGGAGTCTTTGTAGTCAAATCGTTTTCCAAGTAATATTGACACAATTATGTTGGCAACTGCTGCATTAATTATTTTACTGGCGTCAAAGGGCTTTCCTATACAGTGAACAAAAGAATGTGTTATGTTGTGGCAAGAGATGTAATTTGTAAATGTAAATTTAATACGAATTATTGCTATTTATTTCCTATGATTGATTGCCGTTATTGATCATCATTCAATGCCAGAATACCATGCAATGACACAAAAATGCCAGAGGAGCCAAATCCATCAAATTCATTCAGCCTATTTCTTAAAAAGGTCTGAACTTGAGAAGGTTCAGAAGGCCTCTGGGTCCTTGAGCAAAACCTTAGAGGTGGCACTGAAAGAGATTTCCCAGAGAAGCTGTGGCTGCCCCACCCCTGGAAGTGTTCAAGGCTGGGTTGGAGCAGCCTGGGACAGTGGGAGGTGTCCCTGCCCATGGCAGGAAGGTAAATGAGATGATCCTTAAGGTCCCTTTCAACCCAAACCATTCCATGATTCCATGTTTCTGCAGGTTTGAAGAATGAATCACCCACCCACCTTGTTGTGAGGCGATGGTGTCTCCCAGGTACCCGTATTCCTCCACAATTCGATCCTCAATGGCCCTTTTCCCCATCCCAAAGTCTCGTAAGGTTGTGAGAGTAAATCTTCGCATCACCTTCCAGTTTTCACCATGGGCAAAAACAACCCCTGACACGAAGAGAACATTTCAAGGTGGCAGAAGATTAGAAATAACTGATTTTTCTAGACACGGAATGGAGCTGTTTAGTAGTAGTCACTTTTAAAACCTAACTTACTTCTGGCTGAGTCAAAACAGCTTTGTCTTAAGTATTGTCAGTCCTCAACAATAGTTTTGTTGCATTAAAAAAAAGATAACTATTTAAGATGTAGCTAATCAAATCTTAAGAAGAGTATATATCCTAAGAGACACTTGTCACTGAAAGAAAGATGGCATTGGAAATTCAAGTTCAAACCACTGATCATCATAGTTTGGAAGTGGAATTGAACTGAGATCTCATGTGTCTGATGATTTCTGGACAAAACTGACAAGGCACAAATGTCTTTAAAATTCAGGTAGTATTTTAAAACCTCCACAATCAGGTTTTTCTTTCCACTGAAATTTTTACACCAATATAACTAATGACTTCAGCTATATTTTTTCTCCAAAGAAAAAAATAAAGTGAAAAGAAAGCTTAAGTGCACAATATGTTCAAAAAATACAGCTGTTAAAATGTGCACAGAATTATTCTTGACTTTGCCCAAGGGTGTAATTTTTGGAGATGTAAATATGAAACTCTCATGCTAAATTAGAATGAAGCTTCAGTATGAAATTCCCATTTTGAAACCCAGCTCAGTATGCAGTATGTCCCCTTTTAAAATAGATCCCCAATTCTGTTTGTGTTCCGTTCTATTACCATATTCAGAAAAACCACAAGTCCAGAGCCATGTCATGAGAGCTAGAAATGCTTCTGTGGCCTGGATGCCCTGTTCTAGATCCTGAAATTGTCACAATATCCACTGTCTGTTGCTGTGGTTATTTTTAGAGTTGTGGCTGGTTTGTTGTCACTGTCAGTAGTTTCAACTTTGAATAAATTCACTGAAGTCAATGAGATTGCTCCCTACTTCCAATGCCTTGTGTGGCCTCTGATCCAAAGTGATATCCCAGCTCCTGCTTTGTCTACAGGAAGGAAAAAAAGTTGAACAAGTCAAGCTGACAAAGGAAAAATAAAACCAACTTACCATTTCCTTTGGTCAAATCTTCAAAGACTGGGATTTTAGGTCTCTCTGCAAATGCATCTGCCTGGTTTACAAGAGCTTCCTTCACTGTCTCATACCCAGAAATCACAACTACTTTCCTGTGCCCCATCTGAACACTGAAGACTGGGCCATATTCCTTTGACAGCTGTCAGGAGAAGAGAACAGGGATTTACAGACTTTGCAGTTTATGAAGAAATTCACCCTTTCAGCTCTGCTTATTTCCCTGTCCTGCTTCTGAATTTCTGCCATGTTAAATATTTTCCCAAGTCCAGGGAAAGAGAATTGATTTCAATAATGTGAATGTGCCAGACATTGTGATGGTTAATGACTAAATGGCACAGTTGGGAGTGGAGCCCCACTGTGCTAAAGTAAGCAGAAGTGTCAACCCTAGATCAGCAAAGGATTATGCTGACAGCTCTGTTTTCCCTCAGAAACCCCTCTAAATTTATTTTTTACTCATGTTTTCATACTTATTTCTATGCTACTGTGTTTCTTTTGTTCACGGGCTAAACCTGTTCAAACCTTTGCTACCATTATTGTATAACCCCCCCCCTCCCCCCCCTAAAAAAAACCCTTTGGTTTTCTGGGCCAGGATTTAGCATTAGGTAAATTCACAGTTTTTATACATGACTATATCTTCCACAAATCTGTTTTGGAGACACCTTTTTAGCTGGTACAGGTAGATTTATTTTTATATAACTCATTGTTCCTAACTCTCCTGACAATTTGAGGGGGTTTTCCTGACTGTCCTTATTTTCTTCTGTGTTTGCAGAGAGAAACAGAAAACAGCTATTTAGCAACAATGTGGAAAATGTTCAGCAACTGGTAAGCGAGTAGAGCCAACTATATATGAAATAAGAGGAGCAGTGACACATATCTGAATTATACTTGTGAGAGAAACAACCTCCTGCATTAGTGTGGAATCACTGGATTACAGCAGAGACATGTTGGTTCTGTTGGCCTGAAAACACATGGAATTTGCTTTTGTCAACATGATTAGGCTGTACTGGATAGCTACAGTGATATTCTAGATTGTGCATCTAAGCAATCTTTTGATTTGTGGATGCAACATCCAGATTTGTAGGTGCGAATATCCCTTTTGAAATCATCAGCAAGGAGGATGTGTAATTGCAATGTCTGAGTGGAAAAAACTCTAAGAAAGGAGCAGGTTCATTGAAGTCTTCCGACTCAAAGTCAGGAAAGCCCTGCAATAAACTGGGTGGAGAAAGTACTAGAAGTAAAACAAAAAGTTTATTATTCTGGCAACTGTTGGCCCTGAATATTAAGTGTATATAGTTATCTTCAGCTTTTGGGGAAGGAACGAGGAAAGAGAGATGAGAAAGTTTTCTGAATCAGTGGAGGCAAGAAGCTCCAGTAAGGTCCAGACACATCAATCAGTGGAAAGCAGAGGGAGTTAGACCACATATCAAAATCACTCCTTTTCCTCAAAATTATCACAAAAATAAGGTGGCCCCTTGTTGTTAATTTGAGAGTTGTTTAAGGCTGAAACCTGGATGCATGAAGCTGCATGGAGTAAATATTACAGTAAAGAACAAATCTTTCTGCATTCAAAGTTTTCTACTCAAATAACCATCTCCTGTCCCTTGCTAAAGGATCATCCATGGAGACAACATGTCAGGGACAGTAGGAGAAACTCTCTGCCATCTTGGACTATGGGCTCAGTGATATGTGTAGTTATGGGACCAATAGAAAAGAAAATTATTACCTGTGCATAAGTCCTGTAGGGTCTCTTCAAATCAAATAAATGAAGGTTTCCAATTATAGGTAATGCTCTTGGTCCTGGAGGAAAATTCTTTCTCTGGTTGTTGTCCCAGAAACCTGCTATTTTCAAAATGTATAGAAAAGCCAGGATGAACACTAAACCGATGGAAGTGTTGCTGCTCCAGTCCATCTCTGTTCAACAAAGTGTTTGCCACAGAAGAGAAAAGAGAAAATGTGGACTCTGGATCTCTGTCCTCCTGCAAAAATTTCCCTTTGGAGACTTCTGTGTTAGTCCCTAAACCTCTTTCCCAGATACTTTTCTTGCAATTTGTGACTGGTTTAGTTCTCTCCCTCTGTGCTATACCTCAGCAGGGTTCAGAGGCAGGTAAATGTTTGCTAGCCAAGTGTGTGACTGGGTGAGAGTGTAGCTCAGTGTTGGAGTATGAAAGTCCAAGAACATGGTCGTTGACCTGGTTTTTGGTATAAAAGTCATAAACTCTGTACACTGTCCTGGTTACTGATTAAGTTTTTGTCATTAGTACAGATACAACCTTGATACCCTGAGAACTGAAATCAAAATGCCACTGCCCAAGGGAGTAGTGCACAGACTTATTTTTTTAAAATACCTAGGAATTGGCATAACTTTGCTTCCATTGAATTCACTGAGAATTTCAAGTCACAGAATCATGGAATGATTGAGATTGGAAGGGACTTTTGAATTTGTCTGGTCCAAGCCCATTCCTCAAGCAGGGCCATCGAGAGCCAGTTGTCCTAGACTACGTCCAGACAGATTTTGAATATCTCCAAGGTCCTAAACAATTCTAGGATTCTAAGGAGAGAGACTCCACAACCTTCTGGGCAACCTGGAGTGCTCAGTCACTCTCACAGCAAAAAAGTATTTCCTGATGTTCAGAGGAACCTCCCCTGTGTGTGCCCATGGCCTCTGGTCCTGTCACTGGGCACACATTGAGAAGAGTCTGGTTCTGACTTATTTGAACCTTCCTCCAGGTGTTTATACAAACTGATAAGATCCCCCCGAGTCTTCTCGAGGCTAAACAGTCCAATCTCTCTGTGTTTCCTTGTACAAGAGATGCTGCAGTTCCTTCAGCATCCTTGTGGCCCTTTGCTGGACTCTCTTCAGTCTGTCCATACCTCTTTCGTATTGGGGATCCCAGAACTGGACACCTCATTGAGAAAAGATGTCCTCTGTTGGGTGAGGAAAGAGGGCTGAGGTACAGTCTGACTCATGTCTTAGACTTTAAGAGAGTTGAGCAGCAGAGAGGGAGTTGTTAGAAGAAGCAACAGTGGAGAAGAAACCATCCAGGTCTTTCACTGAGACTGGCCAGAGAAGCTGAGCCACAGCCTGAAGAACAGTGTTTGGAAGAGTTTCTAGTAGAAGTCTAGAGCCCTAAATTGTACATGGCCTTGAGGCAAGAAGGTGAAGGCTGTGTGAAGGGAGGTGCCCAGGCTCTTATCTCCTAAAAGCATCAGGATCCCTGCAGAGATATGACCAGAGGCAGAGGAGAGGAGTCAGCCCCTGGGGATGCAGGCGCAGAGACCTAGAGGAAAAGTGCCCTGGCACATGGCTGGGAGCCTGGAAAAGGAGCTCCAACAAGCCTGCTCTTGTACTGCCTTACCTTGAGTCTGCTACTGTCCCAGGGTCTCTGAAAAACAGACCAAGACATTTCACCTACCTGGAATGCATCCTGGAAAAAGTCCAGGGCATGTGTCCAGCTGAGTGCCACTTGGCCTGATTCTACTCCACCTTCCCAGATGGGGTAAAAAGGCACAGAGAATGTCAGTCTTTCCACATATATCCGGAATTTAATTAACAACAAGGAGCTGAGGGGTGACTGAAAGGTGAACTTCTGCAGGAAGGCTTGTGAAGAAGAGGAAGAGCTCTCTTTTGGCAAGACTCTCACAGTGCACATACTTTTTAACAGGTTGATCCCACTGAGAGAGAAAGAAGACTGTACATCCTCAAGAAATGTCAAACAAATACAGTTGGCCATCTGATCATTAAATTCATTCATTTAATCAGCAATGGATTTGAATACAAATATGAAAAGAAATTTTATAAGCAAATATTCAGCCAATGGCTTTAAAATAAATTTACCTTTCAATAATGAAATACAAAGATACTACTCTGACAGAGCTGAAGAACTAAACCAATCTTCAAATTATGATCATCCACTGGTGTTTTGACAATAAGCTTGACCTTTGGTTAGTTTAAATAAGATATAATTAAAGTTTTTATTTGCTAAAAAAAATAAACCTTTTTTAAGCTTTTTTAACGTAAAAACTAACATGTCAAGGTGAGAACAAAGGTAAGACAGAATGTTTAATGGTTATTGGAAGGAATAAAAAATTGTCAGTCTTTTATAAGAAAGAAAAGAAACACTGATGATCATAAACCTTGAATTTAGAGCAGTTTGCTTTACTTTTCAGTCCCAACCTCTAAGCTTGTCTTCCACCCCATCTCTTGTTTTCCTCCTTACTTTCCTTTCCTGCCAGTGTAAGGCTCCCTCATGGAAGAGCAAAGTTCTTGGTAAAATATTTTATGTCCATTAACATATTACACAGAAGTTGTAACTAGTTATTAAAGAAACTCTACTGACTCAGGGTGTTTAAAGTTTTGATTAACTGGGAAATAACCAACCAAAGAAAATATCCTAAGACAGAGAACCAAATGCCACTGGCAGCTGAAGTATGGAGGTGAACAATTAGGGAAATGACCCTTCAGAAGAACAAATCATACACTTCAAGGGCACAGTGACATGGGAAAGAAAGTAACATTTGAAGCTCTGATTAAACAAAACAATCTATCTCCCTCCTCTGGTTTTTTGAGAGAACCTGAATGACTGATTTCTCTGGGACAGAAAACTTCTGAGAAAAAAAGGCAGAGGACAATAATGAGTTCTTGAAGGATGAGGGTCTGGATTACTATGGAGAGATTATAAGGAGAACTGGAGAACCAAACTGCATAGTTCATTTTTTCCCTTTTTGTTTTAAAAGCTAAAGATAACTGTTGAGGGCATCATTCGCCATGGAAGGCTCAGCCTGAATATTAGGAAAAAATTCTTCACTGAAAGAGGGGTTAAACACTGGAACAGGCTCCCCAGGGAAGTGGTGGACTCACCATCCCTGGAAGGGTTCTAAAAACAAGTAGACACGGCACTTCACAATATGGTTTAGTGGGAAAGGTGATATTCCATTCCAGGTTGGACTTGATGATCTTGGAGGTCCTTTCCAACCTTAATGATTCTATAATTCTGAAAGATTTACTGACAGTGAGTGGTACCTCTTCACTCAGGCATTCCTGGGTGGTCAACACTCAGAATCAGTGAAATTACCTCACCTCTGTAAGGTGAAAGAAAGACCCTCTGAATCCCAAAACAAGATTTTGAGGGGTGACATTCCTGTATTGAATATAAGATTTTTAAAGGCTGTCTACATATGGAATATTTTTGAAGTACTTCAATACTTTGCAAATTATACAAAATCTCTTCTAAAATATCTACATATGCAATATTTACATTGTTAAATACCTTCTCCATTTTTACAAATATGATTGTGTGAAAGCTTTGAAAGGATAAAGCATATTTTATAGCCAACAAGGTAGAACAGAGTCAATTGCTGTACATCTGCAAAAGAGCATATCTGAACTGAAGTGTATTACAACAAATGTGTTTTCATCTATAGGTAGAAATGTGGCATATATAGCAGTATACAGCTGATATAACATGAGACAACCCTGACTAGTATCCTTCTAAAGTTTTTGAAGGAAAAATACATCAGCAGAACTGAAAACATATGTGCTATTTTATATGAGAGGAGTTTTTCTCTTTAGTCTGATGAGTCAGACTTGAAATAAGATGCTAATATAAAGTCTTTAAAGTTCACCCACTTTAGCTTGCTCTTCTGAGACATCAGTGGTAGCTTTCCATGTCCAAATAATGCACTGAAGTGTTCCTTCTGCTAGATTTCCCATCCATTGCTTCTCCCTGGATTACTCCATACACATGGGCACAGATGTGGGGTGTGACTCTGCTCCCGGCTACTCTCATCTTGTAGAGTTCCTTCCTCAATTTTTCTCTCTCTTAGCTGAGCAGCCACTGTCATCACTTCTCAGGTGGAGTTAATTTACATTAATTTAGCTTCAATTTTCTTCTTTCTGCTTTCTCTTGTTTTAGGAGACAGTGACTTCAAAGTCAGTGACTCACCACATGGAAGTCCTCTCTGAGTCTTCTGTAGGTTGGACATGGTTTCTTTCCAATCAGTTCCTAACAACTCCTGCTTTTTTGGAGCTAGCATTAGTTCAGTTCATATTTATTAACCTTACCAGTGCCACAACCCACTTATTACTGCTGAATGTAATAAGACATATTATGCAACTACCTGATTCTCATAGCTCCTACTCAATTCCCTTATTGTGTCCCTGAAACAGTCTAAAGAAATCTGTGACTGTAATGAAATTTTTCACAATTTCACTTTCTTCTCCCTTTCAATAAACATATTAACAATGAATCTTGATACTCATATTGCCACTTAGAGTAGCTCATCAATCGCTGTATTCTGTGCTTTGCCATAAGAATGACTTCAATATTTTGTTTCCTGTTGTAATCAATCTTCAAAACACAGCCCATTCCCCTCCCACCCCCATCCAAAAATAGGACAACAAACTTTCCTAAAAAGTTAATATGGGATGCTCTGGTGAAAAGCTTGTTAGAATCTGAATAAAAACTATCAATTAATTTCTTCTTGATTACCTCTACACAGCTGAAGGATGTGGTTGTAACACAGAAATCTTGCAGTTAAATATATTATCCTGGAGGAATCTTGAATCCCAAAAGTTGTTACAATAGCTATATTGACTCAGTGGCAACCAAAGATAAAATATAGATAATTTTGATGATGAAAAAATATATTAGAAAGACCTAATTAATTGGTCTGGGCTTGGCATAATGACTACATACTTTAAAATCAAGCTTGTTTTATATCACAAAAATATAGTTATTTACAGCTACTTCTTAAAACTCCCTGGTGGTAAGGAAAATACTTGGATGTTGTTTCTTAGCATTAGAAATGTAAAAGAGCTTCATTAGCACAAATATTACAGACTAATTATTTTTCTACATGGCAGCTTCAAATCTGCTGTTCTCATCACGGTTGCTGGAGTGAATTTCATGTCCTTTCTCCTCTTCTGGAACCTGCCATAAAAAACAGAAGAGTTCAGTTAATGAGATATAGACTTTTACCATGAAAGATGACTAAAACGTGCTGAGAATGTAATTCTATTTGTGTATGTTATGTGTCTGCTTATCAGCATTGGCACAGCCTGACATGAACCACCAGTTCTGGATTCTGAGGGGTGAATTTAGGGTTTTGTTCATAGAAGAATTCCCTAACGCTGATGTCA